TGCTTTCTATTAAATTTCATGCCTGTGTTTTTGTTTTGTTCGAGATAAGTTCATTAATAAAATATTTCATTTGTGGAAAAAGGAAAAAAAAAAGGTTTTAATTTCTCAATCTGTTCATCTTCTTTCTTGGTAGATTGCAGATTCGCCCAACTCCTAAACATACAAAATCCTTTTTCTTTGCCGGGTTCAAGCCCTTGCTGGTGTTGCGCATGGTGGACAACTCGACCGAGGACTTGACAGAGAGCAGGCGAGCAAGATGAAGGCTGTGAAGGGCGAGGCGTTCCGGTGCTGTCGGTTTTAGGCTGGTGAGGAGGGTGGGGAAGTTGATGGACGGCAAGATCTTGTCGTTGATTAGACGATGGAGGCCATGAAGATGCCGATGTTGGAGGCTCTGAACCTTCACCCACTTCTCAAGCTTCTGCAACCCACAAAGTTCAACCCATGAAAACTGCCATTTTCAGCAGCCAGAGAGTCCCAAGCTTCACGACCTGCTGCGTTTGCAGAGTCCTGGGCTTCACGACCCGCTGCATTTTCTATAACCAACAAAATCATAAGTTTTATCTCAGAAAGAAAAACAAAACATGGAGAGATGATGGAAAACGGAGGAATGGGGTGGGGCGTAACGGAAGATGATTGGAGGAATCTGGGTTCTTCTTTTCTTTATCAAGAAAATGATGAATTTGGGTTCTTTATTTAATTAATTTGAATTGTATTTTAAAAATAAATAATAACTGTCATAAGTCGAACCAGGATCCTCGTCGGATCCATTCTTAGGATCTTAAAGATCACGCAATCGTGTCCGTTTATCGTATATCGTACGGTCAGTTTTTGTTAGATATTATTTATATTTGAATTTTAAATTTTAAATTTTAAATGATTTATAACTGCACAATATACAGTGAACGGACACAATTGTGCGATCGGTTAGGATCCCTAGGGAATGAATCTGGCAAGGATCCTGGTTCTCATAAGTCATCTTAGGTGTCAGATGTTAATAGGTGGTACTCCAGCTCAGCAACTGTACTCATCATCTGGAAAAAAAAATTTCTGGCAAGGATCCTGGTTCTCATAAGTCATCTTAGGTGTCAGATGTTAATAGGTGGTACTCCAGCTCAGCAACTGTACTCATCATCTGGAAAAAAAAATTTCATGATCGAGAGTAAATAGAGAATCTTACCTTGAAAAAGTCTCTTTAGCATTTCTTAAATACCAATTCAACTCAAATAATTATTTTCAGTTGTGGGGGTGGGGGGGGGAAAAATATTTTCAGTTTCAAACTTTCAATACATCAGTCGCTATTGGTGGATGATAGTGACATGAGAATAATCAAATCAACAATTCTTAAGCATTGATCTCAAGTAATTCATATGATGAAAGTAGCATTTGGTTTTGAATATTAGTTATAATTGTTAGATGCATGTCCAAAAAGTCAATTATATGATGAAATATTTTGAGAATACTTATTATGTTAAATTAGACGGGCAAAGTTTATTTGGCATTCACTTTTATTTCTATTATGTGACAAAATAATAATGTGATCTAAAGAATGTTATCAAACTAAGAGACAAGTAATCTAAGGAAGTTAGTTCGATATGGCTTTTCTCTAATGTTCATTTCTTATACATTCGCGTTAACTAGGAGACAACTCAAAAAACTCATCTTCGGGAGATGCTGTAAAAGAGTTTCTATTATATCAAAATGAACAGTTACTCTTTAAATTTAAATCACTTACTAAATATTTTAAAAATAAAGCTCAAGGGTGGAACTTTGATCAAGGAAGTTAGTTCGATATGGCTTTTCTCTAATGTTCGTTTCTTATACATTCACGTTAACTAGGAGACAACTCAAAAAACTCATCTTCGGGAGATGCTGTAAAAGAGTTTCTATTATATCAAAATGAATAGTTACTCTTTAAATTTAAATCACTTACTAAATATTTTAAAAATAAAGCTCAAGGGTGGAACCTTGATCAAGGGGAAAAGGAAGAGGAAAGGTTGTTTTAGAGAATGAGTGGATTGGTTTTGAATTGTTAATAATAAAATATCTGACATTTGTAAAATTGAGAGTGTTGTTGAAAATAAAAAAAATTAAATTAAGTAGCTAAAATAATTTTTTAACACTATCACTTACTAATTTAACAAAATTTAGAGTTTTTCTTGGAGATGCTCGGTATGACAACTCTTGGCTTGCTAGGCATCCTAATACGAACCAAAATAATAAAATACCAAATATCCTCAAAAACTTAGAGAGTTGTTTTGACACAATGGAATTTGGGCTAGTACACAATAGAATTCACAAATACCTATATACCAGCGTAAAGCACCGAGTCTTGCTCGTGAAACTGTTCTTCGAAATAGCGGGTCATGTGCATAATTCTTGAACATCAGAAATCAAATATGTAATTCTTGAACTTCGATGCTGGATTTGCATAAACAACTGATTTCTTGATCACCATCCTGCCATTTGAGATTACTTCACTCAAGGCACCTCATGTAATACGCAAGTCCTTGAGAGGTGCTTTAAACAGTCCTCGAACTCCCCTCAAGGCCCGTAGACTAGTGCTCGAACCCCTTCAAATAAGCCCGTCAGAGTAGTGCTTGAACCCCTTCAAATAGTTCAAATTGTAAAAGTCTACAAAATCATCAACGAAAAAGGGATAAGTCTGTAGCAAGTTCAAATTTGGGCTACTTTTCAAAAATTCTTATGAGTACTTACTATACATTCGTGATATTAATGAAGTCTTGATGATCCAAGGGGGAAGGAAACCAAGAACGCTTGCTCTGAGCGTGAAAGGACAAGTGCTATATTACCAGAGCTACATGCCCTAGACAATCTTTGAGAAACCAGTGGGCAATGGTGTGGCATTTATATCGATCGTATTCTAGTTTCATACCTGTGGATTATCTAGTTTGGCTCCCTTTATTAAAAAGAACAAAAAAAAAAATATATATAAAGAACTTATGTTTTAGGCAAATTGAGGAGAGGGCATGAGCTGACTACAAGTGAATCCGAAGCTAACAACTGTATTCCCATCAGCTATAAATAGAGGCTTCAGATCACTGTATTGGCATACATCCCATTGTAGGATGATCATATTCAATGGAAGAGATGTCAAACATGAAAGAAGAAGCCTTTGTTTGGTATGTAAAGAAAATAGAATGTATAATTGTTTTGAATGAATTTCTTCAATTGAATAATTCTTTCTGCACAAAGTATTATATACAAATTTTACAATCAAGCACACAACCACTATTACGGCATGTAAGCCGTGATCCATAATTTGTGACATTTGAATTATGCTAGAAAAGGTAAATTATAATGATTATAATATTATAATAACTGTGATAACATTTTCCTAATGTTTGACTTAATCAAGAAGATATTATCATAATCACAATAATATTATAATAACTACAATAATTATCACTACAAGAAAAATGGCCTATGGATACAAAATTAAGGACACAATTAATTATTTTGTGGGTAACTAACCAATTTTACACAGAAAAAAATTGTATTTGTTTCCTTTGTATAAAGGCACTAATTAATGTGCCCATTCTTCTACAAATTTGGCACAATATTTTTTCAAGACAACATTTTACTTCTAAAGACAAAATTATTTATTTTTTATTATTTTTCAAATACTTATGGCCCACACATACCCTACTTTCTCTGTCTCTCTGTCTCTCTTAGTTAACCCACCCACACCCCACTTTCCTCCCTAACCCACCCACACGCCACACCCCACTTCCCTCCCACTCCCTTTAACCCAAATTCTCTCTTTCTCAACCAAACAAAATATATGCATCTCTCTCTACCACTCTCACTTCTCTCAAATCTGAGATTTTATTTCGTTTTTTCTTGGAAAAACACATGTGCATCAGATTTGAGAAACACCAACACCTCCGCATCTCTCTCTATCTCAATCGATCCGTCTCTCCCTCTCGTTGCATCTCACGCTCATATCCCAACTATCTGTCGTTTGAGAAAGAACTTGAAGAAATGCAAGAGAAGCTTCAGGCAACCAGGCTTTAGAAGGGGAAAGCGAGAAGCTCCTTAAGAAGGAGGAGATCTTGAAGTTCAAGAAGGAAGAGCTCCAAACAAAGGGCCAAGAGCAAGACAAGCTTCAGATGGAGTTGAAGAAGCTGCAGGAGTTCAAACTCGTCGAGTCAGTTAAGTCTGAGATCGGATCTAAGATTCTGAGGAAGCACCATCGTCTTTACTGTTCCTCAGATCAATGCGATAAGGAGGTAGTTGTTTTATATTTTTCCTAATTTGCAATCAAGTTTCCCTTTTTTTTTTTGTTTAATTTTTCAAATTTATCGTAATTTTTTGGGATTCCACAGTATTTGGAGGCAAAGGGGTTTAGATGGTTTAGGGGTTTGTTTTTGACCTTCGATACCCTGTGATCGATCAACTGGAATTTCAAAATTGGATAGTCTGTATTTTTTATAGCTAGCTATAGAGTTGTATGATAAGGTTGGAGGTATACTTAATTATGTCCTATAATTTTTTAAGTGTTGAAAACCTGAGAGAAACAGAGTTCATACCCCTGTGGTTTTTCACGTGGTATGTAACCCTACCTCTATACTTCTGCAATTTTAAAACATTATCTTATATATGACTTTAAAGTTTTTGTTGATTAATTCTTTTTAATCAAATAGTATTTGCATTAGTTTCCTTTCCATATTTCTAGTGTTCTAGAATTTTTAGTTTGTGTGTAATGTTTGAATTGATTGTATTAAAATTGGTTGTGATTTTTTTCTTTCTTTTGTATTACAGTGCAACAAAGACATAATCTAATCTATAAAGTTGTTTGTTTACATTCTTTGATCAGGAGCTGCTAATCAATTATTAACACAACTTTATATTGTTGGGTATTTATGGACTTATCATTGTCGTGATCATCAGTACCTATACGGCTATCTAGCTTGTGGCCTTGCTATTCTCTCTACCGGTATGGCTATCAGCAGTGTCGATGATGTCGGTGTTAGGTAATATCTCTCTTTCTCTTGGAAAGGATTGGCCTTACTCTTGCTAAGGGTGTATATATCATATCTCTTCAATTGTTTCTCAATTTATTTTTTGCACTTGCTCCTTTGATCAATTATTTAGCTACATATATTAGAGTCATGATATGATGGCCATTTTCAGGTGAACACATTCAGTATTATTTTAGATAGTATACAATACCAAATAATGTATTGAAATTTGATATTCTGAACTGAATTCGTCAGATTGTAAATCAGCATGAAGCTACAAGTAGCAACATTGTCAGGCACAAGGAGTTTAATCTTCAAACACTTGGAATTGGTGGCTTAGGTGCTGAGTTTGCAGATATATTTCGAAGAGCTTTTGCATCCCATGTTTTACCTCCTCACGTGACAAATAAGTAAGATAACTGATTATTCTAGTTGCGCTGATATCTTTTTGGTATAACTTTATACCACACTCCTTTCTGGAAAGACATTGAACCATGTCGAATCATGATTTAACACATCATTTTGATGCTAGTACATTATTTTAACAAAGGCATTTGAGCATGTCTGAATGATTTTGGATATGCAACTTATCCTTAGAGATAAGTTAGCTATTATCTGCATTGGTGATTGATGAGATTTCTGTTTTTGTGAATTGTGCTAGATTGTTAATGGCCCTAAAGTTTTGAGCAGGTTGGTGAAAATAAGAAAAATGGTAGGAATCTATTTGCTGATGTTGAGAATGATCAAAGGGCTTGCGGTAAGGGAAATATATACATGTCAAGTGCACTTAGGCTTGTTTTTCAATAATTTCTAATCTCATTATGTCCTTAATTCCCTTGGAGACCAGAGTGGTTTGCATGCGATCATCTTTGATGAAATGGATGCTATTTGTAAGGTATAAATATTTCCTAGTCTATGCTTTTTACTAAGATTCTTATTCAGTTATGATTTATTGTCAATTCAGAAAAAGTTGTGGGACTCTCAGTTTAAGCAAGAAGGGAATGTGGTTTAAGTGAGCTTCATTGCACGAAGAACTTGGGTCCATCAGCTGCAGTGTTGTGGGGGAGGATAGGATTCTAAAGGACTTGGTTGTGAATAACTGAAATACATGTATATTGTGGGATTTGTTGTAAATAACTGAAGTACGGTATATTGTGGGATTTGTTGATTTAAAAGAAAATTCAAATTTTCTACATTAATATATTTTTTTTAAATAGAACATATTGGGCACGATTTGAAAATTGTGCGCATATGATTCTGTCACCTGTCAATCTGACATGGTTGTCAGAATTAAGACACAAATAGGCTGTTGTGCTGAACTCTTAGAGCACAAATAGCGATGTTGTGTGCTATCAGCAATGGTGACGCCCATAGAGGGCATAGACATAACGATAGTAGCTAAATTGTTGATATTGGTCTATGAGCACAATTGTTGGTGCTTTTTGACATCAAAGGGCACAAATAATTTATTGTGTGCATTGCTTCTTTTTTTTTTTTTTTTTTTTTTTTTTTTTTTTTTTTGTAGTGTATGTTCTAATACTCCCTCTCAAGTTGGATAGTGAAGATCGTGAACTCCCAACTTGTTGCGTGGTGTCACAAACTGGTCTTTTCCCAAGGCCTTTGTAAATACATCTGCCAATTGAAAACGAGTGGGAACATGCGAATGATTAATCATTCTAGCTTGTAGTTTTTTGCAAACTATGTGACATTTGATTTCTATGTGCTTTGTACATTTTTGGGAAACATGATTTGCTGCAATGAACAAAGTGGCTTGATTATCACAATACAATGGTGTGGGAGCTACTTGTGAGACCTTTAAATCTTGTAATATATAACGTAGCCAAGTTAGCTTCAAACACGTATTGGCCATAACTCGATATTCAACTTCTGCTGATGACCTAGCACATTGGTTTGTCTCTTGGACTTTCATGAGACGAGAAAATTTCCTAGGAAAATACAATACCCTGTAACTGATCTCCTTATGGCACGACAACCTCCCTGATCTGAATCATAGAAGGCTTTCAAGGAAAGATTGTTAGAGGCAGGAAATAGTAAGCCTTGATCAGATGTCCCTTTTATGTCACATCCCGGCCCGGGTGGGACCATTTCTCGGGCCCGCTCCACCATCGTAGTACGATATTGTCCGCTTTGGGCTTACCATTCCCTCACGGTTTTGTTTTTGGGAACTCACGAGCAACTTCCCAGTGGGTCACCCATCCTGGGAGTGCTCTAGCCCTCTTCTCGCTTAACTTCGGAGTTCCTACGAAACCCGAAGCCAGTGAGCTCCCAAAATGCCTCGTGCTAGGTAGGGATGAGAATATACATTTAAGGATCACCCCTGGGCGATGTGGGATGTCACAATCCACCCCCCTTAGGGGCCCGACATCCTCGTTGGCACTTTTCCGGCCAGGGATAGGCTCTGATACCAAATTGTCACATCCCGGCCTGGGTGGGACCACTTCCCGGGCCCGCTCCACCACCGTAGCACGATATTGTCCGCTTTGGGCTTACCATTCCCTCACGGTTTTGTTTTTGGGAACTCACGAGCAACTTCCTAGTGGGTCACCCATCCTGGGAGTGCTCTAGCCCTCTTCTCGCTTAACTTCGGAGGTCCTACGGAACCCGAAGCCAGTGAGCTCCCAAAAGGCCTCGTGCTAGGTAGGGATGGGAATATACATTTAAGGATCACCCCTGGGCGATGTGGGATGTCACATTTTATGTATCTGAGGATTCGTAAAGTAGCATCCTAATGTAGCTTTCGAGCTGATGCATGAATTGATTAAGTGTCCGAATAAAGTAGACTATATCTGACCTTGTGACAGTGAGATAAATTAACCTCCCAACCAGTCTTCGATACTAAGTTAGGTCATTGAGAAGTGTTATATCTGTGGGGGTGAATTTGAGATTCTGTTCAATTGGAAACTTGTCTGGTCGTGCAGCTGTAAGTCCCGAGTCTTGCAGAATATCTAATGCATATTTTCTTTGAGACATGAAAATACCTTTCTTGGAACGTGAAAATTCAATGCCCAAGAAATACTTCAAATCTCCAAGGTCATTGATGTGAAAACGCTTAAGAAAAAAAAATGTTTTAAGGTGTTTCATCTTTTGAAGATCATTACCTGTGAAAAGTATGTCATCAACATAAATAAGCACTACTGTGAATGAAGTACCTTGTGTCTTGGTGAAGAGGGAATAATCAGCCTTTGGCTGATGGTATCCCGCTTTCTGAATGGTGGTTGAAAAGGTAGAAAACCAATTTCTCGATGTTTGTTTGAGTCCATAAAGAGACTTCTTGAGCCGATATACAATGTTCTCCCCCTGCCGGCAAAGATCAGGAGGAGGCATCATGTAAACAACTTCATGCAAATCACCATGGAAGAAAGAGACATTGCAGTGTTGTGAATTTGGTGGTAAAAGAAAAATTCTCCTCATAGTCAACGCCCTCAATTTGAGTGTAACCCTTGGCACCAAGATGATCTTTGTAACGCTCAATGGTGCCGTCAATTTTTTATTTGATTTTGTAGACCCACTTGCAACAGATGGGTTTATGACCAAGAGGCAAATGATTCGTACTCCAAGTGTTATTTTGTTCTTGAGCTTCTAATTCGACATGCATGGCTTGTTGCCAATTAGGATCTTGGATAGCTTGAGTATAGGAAGTGAGCTCAGTAGGACTTGAAGGACGAGGCGCCAGGTTAGATGGACTAACGTGGTTGGACATGTGGTAGTCTTTATGCCATGCTAGATGGTGTGTAGGACGGGTGGAATGTCGTGAATGTGCCATGGTGGGCTAGGAAGGGAGGGATGCTGTCGGGCTAATATTAGCAGTGGGTGTGGTTGTATGAGGAGTAGGTGGGCTTGTATGATTAGAATGGGCTGGCAGGATATAGTGTGTTATCATGAGAAGGTGGGCTGGTAGTAGATGGTGGGCCAACAGAAGTGGGTAATGGCTAAAGTGGCGTGGTGTTGGAAGACACGAGAGGTTGAGGGATGATGGTCCATTGGCATATGGCAAGCATTTAGCAGGTGGCGTGTAGATGACGCGAGATGTTGGGGAGTGACTAAGGTGGGGTCGAGGCTAGCAGATTAAGGCGGGGTGAGGGGTCAGGAGTGGGGTGAAGGTTGATTAGGCTCAGTGGGTCGTCATTGGGGGCAAATGACAGTGGGCCTGGTAAGTTGGCAGGGTGTGAGAATGGTAATTGTTGCCGTGTGTCAAGCACAAAGCATGTTGGTGTGTGTGACGCGGCTGGCATAGGTTGGCGTGAAAGTGACATGGGCGCAGGTGATGAGAAAAGACGTCAATCATGAGGTTGTAAGTGAGTGGCAGATGGTGTTGAAAAGGGGAATATGTTTTCATGAAATCTTACATCTCGACTGACAAGGAATGAGTGAGTGTCCAAATCATAGAGTGTATAACCCTATTAACTAAGACGGTAGCCAATAAATATGCAACGTTTGGCACTAGTGTCAAATGTTTGAGTTGGATGGACAACAATAGCATAACAGAGAAAGCCAAAAACCCAGAAATGACTGAGAGATGGTGGTCGGTTGTACAAAAGCTCAAAAGGAGATTTGTTGGATATTAATGGTGATGGTATGCGGTTAATGAGATATACAGTTGTTAAGACACAATCACCTTAAAAGGAAAGGGGTAAGTTGGATTGGAATCAAAGGGCACGGGCAACGGTGAGAATGTGCCGGTGTTTACGTTCGACAACCCTATTTTTTTATGGAGTATATACGAATGTATGTTGGTACTCAATGCCATTATTTTGGAAAAAAGCTTTCATGGATAAGAATTCTAACCCATTGTCAACCTGATTGCTTTAACATTGGCATTAAACTGTGTGTGGACAAAGGAAATGAAAGTTTTCAAAAGGTGTTGTGTCTCAAATTTAAATTGCATAAGAAATATCCATGTGCATCTAGTAAAATCATCCACAATGGTAAGGAAAAATCTAGCCCTTGAATGCGTGAGAATTTTATGACAATGTAACAAATCAAATGTTGTATGAGTGGAAATTGAACCTAAGGAAAAAGGAAGTCTTGTTTGTTTGGCCATGGGACAAACACCACAATTATTATCAAAAGAAATATTATGCGAAGACAATAAATGAGAGATTAATTTAAGGCAAGAAAGAGAATGGTGCCATAAGTTGGAAGGATGTGATACTTGGCAATAAATTGGTGTCCACTGTAATAGAGATATGTAATAAAGCCCACCACGCTGTTTACCCAAGCCAATTATCTTCCCAGTAGCCATGTCCTGCAAGACACAAAAAGTAGGAAACAATATGACAACAATTTAGAGAATCAGTGACTTTGCTAGCAGACATAAGGTTTAAACGGAATGATGTGACACATAAAACATTATCTAAAGTGATGTTAGAATTAAATGGTATAGTGCCAATGGAAGTGATTGGGGCGGTAGAACCAGTGGGTAGATTAACTATAGGTGTAGGCGATGAATTAGTTTTAGTGAAAAGTGTGGAATAAGAAGTGATGTGGTCCGTAGCTCCGTTATCCAAAATCCAAGGCTCGGTCAATATAGAATTTACTGAAGGAGCAGAAACAAAAAACTGGCCTGGAGTATTTGCATAAACATTATGATTATCGGAAGCACGATTGAAATTTATCATGGGCACAATATGAGCAAGTTGTTGTAGTTGTTCACTAGAAAGGTCGTGAAATGAATTGGATGGGCGCCAACTGGAAATAGGGGTTGTAGTTATGTCAGCATTGATATTGGTGGCATGATGAGAAATATGGTGGTCATGGTGGAGGTCAACAACATGTCTGTTGGCTGCATTGGCAAAAGAAAATTTTTCTGTTGGTGTTTGATCTTTTCCTGTCATGTTGGTTGTGTTTGCGTTAAAAAGAAAAAAAAAAGTTGGCTTGTGTTTGTAGCAGAAGTGGGATGAACATCTAGAGTCACCACAATCGGTGCTCTGATGCCATGTAAAGAAAATAAAATGTATAATTGTTTTGAAAGAATTTCTTCAATTGAATAATTCTTTCTATACTAGGTATTATATACAAATATTACAATCAAGCACACAACCACTATTATGACATGTAAGCCGTAATCCACACTTTGTGGCATTTGACTTATGCTAGAAAACATACATTATAATGATTATAATATTATAATAACTATGATAACATTTTTCTAATGTTTGTGATACGCTCTGATCTCGAT